CTTCTCCCGTGACTCCGGCTTTTGTCTACAGCCCTTCCTCACCCACAGACTCACTGCTCTTCAGGCTCTGGGACTTGCCTTCTCTCCTTGTGGGGGTTCCCATGGGCGCTGCCCCCAGGTCCTTGTCACAGGCTGCTGGGCTGTCCCCAGCTGCCAGGTGTGTTGACTGCCGATGGCCTGGTTGTGACCCTCTCTGGCCCCCTTCCCTGAGCCAGTGGGCGTCCCTTCATTCCAAGATGCCCAGGAAGTTATTCCCACCCCATCCCCCAAGAGGTGGGCACAGCCAGAGACAGGCACATTCGGGGAACAAAAGCCCAGGCCCCTCCCTCACAGAGGGACAAGTCTGCGGGGCCACCTACGTGCCAGAGCTTCAGGTCAGAATTCCCTGGATGGAACAATGAATAAGCTGTTTTTCCTCCCAGGCAGTGGAGAAAGTATTAGCTGCGGACAGAAAGGCAGACCTACGAATGAATCCTGGCCCAAGCAGTCAACAGTGGTGACTGGGGTGACTTGCTACATTTCTAGGCTTCAGCTGCCTTATGTACAGGTACGGGTCCTAATTCCCACTCTGTAGCATTGATGTGAGGATTTGAGCGCAGCGGCAAAGCCCCTCGTATGGGGCCTGGTACACAGAGTGACCCGTGACCTCGGCAGCGGGAGGGGAAAGGCTGAACAGGACAGCCGGCTGAGGCGGCCGGGCAGGGAGGGGCAGGAGCCGTGCCCCCCCCCCCCCAGCCCAGCAGGAAGGGCAGCCAGCCAGCTGCATGCTGCACACTTCCGCGCGCACTAGTGGTCTTGTAACCCCTCCCTGGGGGGCTCAGCTCAGGAACCAAACACCTGTAAACAAAAACCAAAGCCAGCTTCTGATGCTCGGCTTTCCGTTTGGAGGCCATCTTCACTGGACACTAGCCTGTCAGGAGGCGCTGGACTTGCACGGGTCTCTGGTGGGCCTCCCCACTTGGCCCCAAACCTCCTCCAGCTCACGCCGCGGAGCCCTCTGCTCCCAGCGGCCTCAGGCCATAGGTCACTAAGTCCAAAGCCCAGGCTGCAGAGGCCACAAGAATGGTGGCCAATCCATTCGGTCAAGAGGCCCCTAGGCAACCGCAAGGCCCCCTTCCAGCCACTGCTGTCGAGGGAAAGACACAGGGACCACCCAGGGAAACCCTCTACTCCGGGTGCCCCAGGCACCCTCGGCTGCGCTCACGGCCACGGTTTCCAACTCTTGGACTCCTGTCCCTGGCTCACTGTTCCCATGTCACAATCCCACGTGTCCTCAGGCAGAAGCAGGTGCCCATCGCAGGGCCTGGAGGAGGTTTGGGAACTTCCGGAATTCTCGTCAGGCCCTGGGCAACCCCTTACGGAAAAGGCCTCCAGCACCAGAGAGACGCTGCTGTCCCACGGGTGGGGCTCCCAGAAACCAGCCAGGAGGCTGGAGCCCGAACAGGAGGGACAGCTGACGGGGCCTGAGGGGACACTACCCTATAATGAGGAAGGTTCTGCCACGGGGCCCCAAGCCTCCGAGTTTACCAGTTAAATCTTTTTCTTCCACAGGCTCTGTCGGCCAGGATTGGCATTCGCACCTGGGTGCCGCTTCTCCTAAACGTCCCCTTCTTTTCAGCCAAAGATAATCCCATCCCAGACACCTGCCTCTTCTTCCTCAGGCAAGGCTAACCATTAACAAGCCACTTCGGTTGGTTGAGAGCTCAGAAGAGGCACATGCTTTACACACACATTGTCTCATTTTATCCTCATACCCAAGATCCTTGTTATTTTCACTCCTCTGTGCAGCTGAGGAGACAAAGCTTCCCAGAGGTTCCGTGGCTTGCCTAGGCCACGAGGTTTTAAGTGACCTAGTCACTTGGTCGCAGAGCCTCAGTCCGGCTGACTCCAGAGCTGGCGCCCTTGGCTCTGTCCGCCATATTGCTTTGTCCACCAGGAACAGAGAAGTCCCGGGAAGGGGGTGTTACTTTCTGCTCTTCCATCGTCCTCAGGCTGCAAGATCTTCAGCCTGAGTGGCGAGAGGGAGCCCCCCACGCCTGCCCACGCTGAGGAACCACAGTCCCTTCACGGGGGCTGGTTTGGCTGCTCCCGGTTCCCCCTTCCACAACACAAGGCGTGTCTTTTCCTGGCGGGGGGCACGGCTCCATGGGCAGCTGGACGCCTTGACTGGGAGGGAAAGGAGACACCCTGGGGACACGTCCTTGGCTCATTGGGAGCATCACACAATCGTACAGTTTGATGTTGTCTTCCCATTATTGAAATACTACTTGGCCAAGGAAAATCAGAACATGCGCAAAAGTAAACAGAAGGAAAAAAATAACTTGCAGGACTCTTAACCAGTGCTCTGTGGGCAAATATCCTTTTTCTCTTCGCAAGTCGGAATTGCATCGTGTATGTATACGTCTTTATTGATGAGCACATCCCCATGTGTACCAGTTTATTTTTTTAAACACCGCCCTGTTTTTCTTAACCGGTTCCCTCAGGCGTGTATGTAGCTGGGGATGAAGCACGGCTGTGTGGTTTCCCCACGCGCCGTTTTCGGGTCTCACGATTCCATTTCCTTGGCAGACAGTGGGCTGCTCCTGTGGTGCTAGTTGCTCTGGGGCTTCCTGGGCACCACTTCCCAGTGCACAGCCCGGCTCCATTCATTTCTCCTATAGAAACAATGCCGACATTGACCCGGAGCCGGCGCCTCCCACTGGTGTGGCGGCACCCCGGGCCCTATGGAACCACCACTGTGCCCTTGGCCTCTCTGCTACCACCTGTCCCTGCCCCGAGGACACGGTGGTGATTTCCCAGCTTTCCAGAACTGGGGCCCTCACAGGAAGGCAGGCCCAGCCAGACTCGGCTCAAAATGCCGGCTTTCGGCCAACACCTCAACTCCCCTGCCCGTCACACCTCACGCAAGGTTAGGTGAGGGGACTTGGCCACAGAGGGGCGCCGTAAGGGGTCTGGAGGCCAGGAGACGTGGCCGTGGAGCCTGGGTCTTCTACTTGTCAGCTGTGGAAACTGAGCAAATTCCTGCAGCTCAGAGCCTGGGTTTCTTCATCTTTATGAGAGAATACTTCCTTCCCTCTAGGGTTTTTGTGGGAATGAGATGACATAATGCAAGCGAACTTGTCGAGCCCCGCTTCTGACCTAATGAAGGCAGTTAATAAAGAACTGAGATCATTTCCGACCCCACCCCCACGCCCCCAGGGAGCAGGCTCTCTGTTCGGTTTTTCCATTATACTATCTCTTAGTACCACTGAGCTCTCGTTTTCAAAAGCTTTATCCTCTTGGAGAAAAAGTTCTCCACAGCCAGGCTGGTCAATCCAGTAGCCTTGAGGCCATGCGCAAACAAAGGGCTCCCTACCCTCATCTTGTAGACGAGCTCAGGACCGCTTGGCTTACTTTCGGAATAAACAAGACAAGCAAAAACAGTCCTTACTCCTCATACTAAATAACCTCATCTGTTTGTTTATATTTAATACACATTTGCTGGCACATGGAATGGGGTTGCGTGTCCTCACGCCAGCTCTGGGAACGTCCTAAATACCTGCTTGAGAGTTCTGGCCCCTGCCTTCCCCTCTGGTCCCGATCTTCCCCAACTCGCTTCGTCCTGTTTCATTTCTGGACCCAACTCATCCCGCCAAAGCTGAAGATCAGGGAGAGGAAGGACTAGTCAAACATCTTGGTTCAAAGGCAGCAATTAATGTGGCGGTTCCCTTGCTGCTCAGGAGCACCTCAGTTCATTCAATCAGGATTTCTGGGCATGGCGACCAGGCACAATACCAAGTTTGAGCCAAGTTCGAGAACCAGTGACTTAACTGCTGTTGGTAAAGACCCTGACTGTTCCCCGCGCATCTCACTTTATGACTTCCACGTGGAGTTGGGCGCACAGCCAAGGCTTCTGATAGTGACGGACTAACTCAATCCGTTCCTCATTAACTCCCACAACGGGGGTATGGTGGCTATTCCAAGATCACACAGATGTCCCGAAGTCATACATGACAAACATTTTATTACATTAAAAGAAGTCATCTGTTAACTGCTGAACTGCAAGGGGGCTGCATCGGAGGCTACTTCAGAAAAGTAGCATCAGAGAACAAGTATAGATCTTTAGCCTCACAAAACAGCTAGATTCTCCTCCGCTTTCTCCATAAAATATTTATCAGTGCCTTTGGCTGGTTCTGGTAAGAGCACCGAATCACTGACTTGACATAAAACCAGGATTATCCTAACATGTCAACAACACAGGTCCCTTCCTGACCCTGTCCTTGGCAGCCAGGCTGCTGCGGCTTGAACACAGGCGGCAACGCCCCAGCGGCATCCATCCCACGTCTCTGTGGTGACACGGTGCTCTTCCCAGTGGCTGGCTCTGGGGATGGTCTCAGCGGCGGCCTCGCCATCTGGGGCCCACGTGAGCAGCCGGCGGTGGGCTCCGAGACTGGTTCCCTCTGAGACTGGAAGCGGCTTGGTTCCCCCCCACTACACAGCACACTGTCTGTCCCGAGGGAGTGTTAGCAAGAGCGGCTCCTCCTCCGGGCAGAGCAGGTCCGGCAGCTGGGGCGGGCGTGACCTGCAGGGCGGACCCGAGGAGCCGCGGGGACGCTGGCAGAGGGACTGGCCCCACTGCCTTTTGGTTCAGAGCAACCTCGGAGGACTCCAGTGTCCGTTCTACCTACTGGGTATTTGGACATGACCCAAATGGCTTTCCCGTGGAGCCTGAAGGCGAGGAGCCCAGGCCCTGTCGCCTGTCCACGCTGTTCCTGCACCTCGTGTGGTGGCTCAGTTTACCCTCCTGTTCCTGGGGTGCGCCGAAGGCAGCACAATTTCTGGGATCCAGAGGCATCCTGGCTGCTCGAGAGGCAAGGCGCTCATTCTCACTTCCACCCAGCAGCAGCTCCGCGGGCTTCACATGGGGGCAGGCGGCCCCCCGCCCCCGGCACGCAGTGGGGGTGGGGCGCGGCAGGCGCCCTCCTTCTCCCCCTCTGCCCACCCTCACCCTTGCACCAGGCCACGCCCCAGAGGCATGAAGGTAGATGTTCAAGACATGTCTTTCCCCTGCCCCTGGGCCAGCACGTCTTCCTGGCGCCCAGGCCTCCACGGAAGTCCCTCAGAGGCCCTCGTGGTCCCTGCCCCTCCACGTCACTCCTGCACCAGGAAGTTGATGAGGGCCGTTCTGGGGGAGAGAAAGGCTTTCTTGATGCTTCGCCCCTGCAAATGTCTGGCGCCCAGCTCACTTTGAAGAACGAGCTCGTGCACTTTATCCTGGTCCCGGGCCACTTGCTGGGGCACAGGGACTTTGCCGCAGGCTTTGTTGTTGATCTGAGGAGATAAGCCAGAGACAGAGAATACTGAGAGGGGCAGGCAGCCACTACCAAACCCCACTTCCTGCAAAGGGCCTGCTGTGTGGGGGCGGGGAGGAGGGACAGGGAGGAGGGAAGGGCAGCACCGGTCACAGCCACGGTGGAAATCATGCCCCAGAAACAGGCTTCGGCCGTTTCCCGGGCGAGAGGGGTAACTGTGTCACTGGGGATCAAGTCTAAGTTCAGATCCAGCCACAGGGGGTGCCCTGAGGATTTCACCTGGGCCTCCAGGGGACTACCTTCTGGGGACCCCAGTCACCCTCCCTTTCTGATGACTGGCCCCCAGAGGGGGCGCTTGGCGAGGACTTGGAAACTGGACCCACATCACGTGAACAACTTCCTTGCTTAAAGCAAATGGACCCGTGCAGTTCCAGACGTCAGCAGGCGCTCACTGAATACCAGCGCCATACGGACAACCTTCACGCCAAATACGCACTGATACTGCCGCCGAGGAAGTGGCCCCATGGTCCACACGGTGCCTGAACAGCCGTCCTTCAAATCCTCTAACTGTTCCCGTAAGAACACTTAGATTTCTTCCACTAACACTCGTTTCTCGCTTGGAAAATAGTCCCTGTGTTACGAACAGTTACTCAGAATAATTTCTCAAGTTTCAACAAAAAGCCTATCATCAAGCATTCCTTAACCACCCACTTCATTTTTTCAGATTTTTGTAAAACTCAGTGTCCTGTTTATTGGTTGCATTCGCCTGGATTACCGCAGGGGAGACAAAGCATTGTTTCCTGAAATATCCTGAAATGTTGGGTTTTTAAAATAAAAGTGTGAGACTCCACAGTGCAGGGCCTTTGTGTTCCAAAGCCGTGGAGCTCAGATGTGCTGTTTGAAGGACGCTGGTCGCTTTCCCTTCCTGTTTCTACATCATGAGAAGCTGCCTTCTTTCAAGGCCATGTGCTGGGTTTGACTGAGACCTTCGAAGGGACCTCTCACCCCATCACACAAAATCCACGTCCCTCGTGAAGTCCCGGGAACCCCAAACATGCAATTCTCGGGACGTGCATTTGATAACGAACCCATGTACTGGCCTTCCCATCTCGGTTCTTACTCTCTTTTTAGGAAAGAGGCCCAGGGTGAGGCCTCCTGGGGTCGTGGTGGGGAAAGAGCGTGTTCCTACGAGGGACAGACTCTGGGTGGCCCTCAGGACTGAACTCCTAAGCGGTGGGACCTTGGGCCTCAGTTTTGTCTACTTTGAGGACAGAGCCCCCTGGGAGGGTGAGGGAAGAAAGTGACAGAACCTCTGTCCAGAGACCAGCTCGCTGTCTTACGTCCTCTGCCTTTGTCAGCATTGCCGGCCAGGGCGGCAGGAGCGAGCCCTGCCACGACCCCTTCGACGCACAGCCTCAGCTCTGCACCGACCCTGCTGGGTTGGCGGCCCAGGCGGCCTCCGTGCTTCCCCGGAGCCGGGGCTGCTCCCGGGCCGTCACTGGCGAGGCCTGTCCGCAGGAGTTGGGTCATTCCTGCCAACACAGAGGGCGTGGTGACCTCTGGGTGTGCCATGGGTGCCCAGGGGGTCTCCCCACGCTGCCCCGGGCACCGCTCATGGTCTCAGGCTCCCCAGGACGCCTCTGAGCAGCCTCTCCAGGGCAGTCTTTCCTGGGCGAGGGGGTCTCAGTCACGCTCCCCCCTCCTGAGCACGGGGCGCCCGCTGAACGAGCAACAGCAGACTGCTCAGGGCTTGGCCTGCAGGGGCCCAGAGGGGAAGAAGCACTTTCAAATCTCAACAGCGCCTGTCAGACATTAGAGAAGTTTCCAGTCCCCACTTGGTGGCCCTCTGCCTTTACCACCTCCATGTCATCACTGGCCCTGTCCACCCAGGGCCTCAGCCTCGTTCTCGCGGGCTTTCCCCTGCCCCAGGCGCCACTGCGCACCGACGGGAGGGGAGTGTCGGGGGATGAGGCCCCTGCCGTCGCAGCCCCCATTTTACAGACCGGGAAGCTGCAGCGCGTGCGGGAGAGCCCCACTCCCCCTCCAAGGCGCCCCCCAGCAGGCAGATCCTCCCTGTGCGCAGCGCAGACCCCCTGACGGCCCCAACTCCTCTCTAGCGCTGCCCTGCTGTGCCCCTGCGCCACCGCAAGGCTCACCGTCCCAGCGCTGCTGAGGACTTTCCCTGCCTTTGCTCCTTTTCTCCACAAAGGGAATACTCCTCCTTCAGAGCCGAGGTCCCGTGGCCCCTTCCTCACGATGATGCCTTCTCCCACGAGCCAACTGCCGGGGGCGCGATGCTGACGCTGGCGGCAGTCAGCACTCACCAAGCGAGCGGTGAAGCCCGAGGCTGCCACCATTTCCTCGCCTGGGACACGGGGTTAGTGGCACGCCTGCCGTCGGGGAGGTGCGGATCACATCAGGGCTGCTGGGCAGGTCGCTGAGCTGGTACCTGGCCGGTTCTTAGGGCACTGCCGCGCCCTCGGTCAGCGCTCACCGCGGGCCACCGGGTTTGCGTTAGTGTGCCCAGAGCAGGCTAAGCGCCTCCTGGCACGATCCCATTGCGTTCTTTCAACAACCAGGTGAGGCGGACGCTGTGTTCGCTTCCATTTTCTAACTGAGGAAACTGAGGCTCAGAGAAATCAAGTATTTTGCACAACAGACTTAGGCAAGGATGGTCGGACTCCCAAGCTCTTACATCTTAACCTCGAGGCTTCGTGAACCCCCTGAGTGTGTGACAACTCATGTGCCCCGAGACGGTCCCCCACTGGGCGCTAAGCTCTGTGAAGACGAGGCGGTGGGTCCAGGCTCTGCAACCCTTGGATCGGGCACAGCCCGCATCGTGGGCACAGAGGCCAGAGAACGTAGGCACAGCTGAGCTGAGCTGCGCTGCACTGGGCGCTGCCGCGGCTCCCGTGTCTGGCCATGGCACCGACCGAGATCGCAGGGAGACAGAACGCAGGCCTGCACAGGGGTTCGGCATGGTGCCCTGACAGGCAGGAGGTTGGGCTGGGGGCTGGGCAGACCAGGGAGGCCTCCCAGGTGACGGGACCCGCCCCCTGGCAGGCTGGCCCCGTGTGGGAGACAGCCACTCACCAGCACGGCCATCTGCACCACGTCGGGCTGCTGCAGGAACTGCGGGTCCACGGCCGGCCACGGCTGGAGCAGCACGCCGGCGTCCCAAGCATAGTGCGTGCACAGCTTCCGGGGCACCAGTGCCAGGCCTGCAACATCAAGGCAGGGAGACCGTCAGTGAGCGCACGCCAGGCTCCGTGCGGCTGGACAGAAAGTGCGCACCCCAGCTCAGCCGGGCTGGGCGGACCAAGGCAGCTCCCGAGGCCACACCACGGCCTTGCAGCGCCTACCGGCTGCTCCCCTCCTGCTCCTGCCTGGTTTATCCTCCCAGGTGACAGGCGGCTTTTTCCTCGGACAGCGCCCAGGGCTGTGAAGACACATGGACAGGCTTCATGGAGCGTGCGTTTGGAAAGGCACGGCTGCTGGCTCAACTGGGTCTGTGTGTTCTGTGCGTGAAGGGATGGATGCCTTGTGCTCGTGAGAGCAGAGTCCCAAAGCCCAAATTGCGCTCACTTCCTGTCTGGCCCATGAATACCTATGGTCTCAGGGCCTCCCCTCACCAGGCCTTTCACTCATACTGCCAGCCTGTGAACCAAAGGGTCGCTGGCTCGATTCCCGGTCGAGGAACGTGCCGGGGTTGTGGGCCGGGTCCCTGGTTGGGGGAGCACAAGAGGCAACTGATCCATGTATCTCTCACACACTGACGTTTCTCTCCCTCTTTCTTCCTCCCTGCCCCTCTCTCTAAAAATAAATAAAATGTTTTTTTAAAAAATAAGAAATGATATAAAAATCTATATGAACAGATAAAAGGTTGGAAGGAAATAAATCAGAATAGTAGCAGGGGTTATCCCTGGGAGGGAGAAATAGGAGGGACCTTCTTTTCTCCTTTTTTAAACATTTAATAGGTTTTCAAAAGGAGCATTTAGTACTTTCGTAATTTGAAAAAATAAAACTTTACTTAAGAATAAATTTTTCCCATGACGTAAGATCCATTCAAGATTTTTCTTCCGGTTTCTTTTCAAGGTTTCATTTCCTCCCCTACTTAACTCTTATTTCTATCTGAACTTTAGTTTGTGTATAGTATGAAAAAAACACTAACTCAGTTTTATTCAACAAATCCTCTTCGTTACTGGTTCGTGATTTTTCTTTTACAAATACTATCCCCGAGATGGTTTCAGGACTGTTCACTGCAAAGCTCCCCAATGTGTCTGCCTGTGCGGAGGAAAAAAACCTGGGCCCATACGCAAATCAACCAACACGCTGCGTCTTCCATTGAGAAAGTCTCGCTACCCAAGGCAACGGCCATCCTGCCTCGACTGTGTGCTCAGTGGCAGGCTCTTTACCTTGTCGTGGGCTGTCACAGGCAGGTCCAGCCAGGGGCCACTCCGAGCAGCACTGGCCCATTTTCCTGCCTTATCTCCGGCATTAGTATCATGAGTTACTTGTCACAGCTTTGCATGTCTTCCTATCTGGCACCCCTGTCGCCCTGTGCTGCCCAGGCAACGGAGGGACGCGATGGCCCCCCAGGGTCTGCGGATCCAGCGGGAACCAGACAGGTTCACCTGGGCCCGGCTGGGCCCCCGGATTCCCGAGCTCACCGGCGAACCCGCCCCGTTTCTAACAGATGCGCCTCAGAAGGGCTCCTGTGAAGACTCCTGTCTGAACAGAAGGCAGGGGTCACAGAGGGAGAGCATCATTTCTTTATCTGAGCAGCCTGGCCCAGGGTGGCCTGTCTTGCGACCCAGCTGCACTGGGAAGGACTCCAAAGCCTCCACATGGCCTTGTACAGGATGCCTGGCAGATGGAAGGACCTTGGACACAAATGTTCTGGGCAGAGGCTGTTACAAATTCCACTTAAAAAAAATGAGGAAGCCCGGCCTTCCTGGAGTGATCAGGATGCTTATTTATAGCCGCCTGGGCCCCTGCCAGCGGTTCCCTATAGATAGGCGTGGGGCCATCCTCCGGGAGAGGAACAGAAACTCACTCCTGGAGGCCTACGTAGTGTTTGTGCCTCCCAGCTCTTTATAGGGAAGTAAAAACACCTACCATTTGCATGGCAAACACAATGGTTTCTTTACATGACAAGGTCGAGGGCTGGCCTTCGGGAAGCTCACGAAGTCTGCACGCAGGCCGGGAAGCGCAAGGCCTGGCACACAAGGCCACCATGCGAGGCCCGCCTGGCCCATGGCCTACCCCCTTTAGTTCCCTCGTCTGGGAGAGCTGCTGTCGCTGACCTTCCTGCGAAAGAGCCGAATCAAGACCCAAGACCCCTCTCCCACCCCGAGCGCTCAGAAGTGCCACTCGGAAGAGCGTGCCCGGCGGCCCTGGCTTCTGTGGACGGCAGGCCTCCCACCGGTGTCCGTCTTCACACACACACACACGCACGCGCGCACACGTGGCAGATGTGGGGACGCAGGGGCGCCTGACCCCGCCGTGCCTCGTCCAGCCGGGCAATCCCAAGGACATGGATGGGAGGGGGGCCACCGCCCTCCGGCCTCTGACTGCAGAAGCCCACGGCTCCCCCTCGTAATAAACCTGACTTGTTCAAACGAGCGTGTTCCTGTGGCTTGTGGCTGGAGGACGCCAACAAAACTGCAGGCTCATCGGAGTCAGCCGAGACCCTCAAGGCCTTGGACCAAGACTGCTGACCCCGAAGAAGTGTGCGCATCTGAGACCCCTGGCACCTCCACCTGGCCGGGGGGCCGCCCACCCCCGACTGGGAACGCGGCGCATGCAGAGCCGGGCTCCAGCGGAAGACTTTCAGGGTTGTGCTCATTTTGTTTCCCTAGATATAGGTCCCTCTTTGGGCTTCGGTTTTTCTGATGATCAGAGCAGTCTCATTCTTTGGTGAAGCCATTTCCTAGCATCTCACGCCTGCTCCTCGAATGTCGTGTCTGTCTGCCTGTGTAGCATCCTGAATGCTGCTTATTCTTGTCATTCCTTCCCTCCTTTGCTTTCACTCTTGGAACCTGTTCAAGCCTCACGAAGTTTCTGCCATTACCGCCTCAGCTCCCTTTCCTTCTAGATAATTACTTCAGAACGCACCACAGCCTCACACACCCAGGAGGGGCTTTCTCGTCACTGGGAGCCGGCCAGGACAGCACAAACGCCACCACTTCCTTCTCGTGGTTCCGTGTCTTTTCAGCTCACCTTAGTCTTTGAAAGAGAGACTTGAACCCCGCAAGCTTCTGCTTAATGACGTGTTTTGCAGAGTGTGTGGCCAAAGTTCCTATTTCAGGAACTGATGCGTTCCGTGCGACACCTCACAGCTCGTGGCCCACACGCCTGGGAAGGGCTGCTGTGCGGTCTGCTCCTTCTCAGAGGCCCCAGATAAAAGCGTTATGTCTCCCACAAGCTCCTGTAAAACGTCCCAGGAGGCTCAGGGGACCACTGAGTACAAAGTTTGGGGAACCGAGCCCAGCACAGCCACCTGCACAGCACCTTCCATTTCTATTCCCGCTTCGTTTCCATTCCCGCCTGGGACCACTGCGCCGCCGGGACCGGGCACTCAGCGGGGCTGCGGAGGCACATGCCCCCCGTTCGGCAAGAGCCTCGAGTGCGTTCTGAGGAGGAGCCACAGGCCCGGCAAGGACTGGCTCACCTACCTGCCCAGAGCTCGGAGGTGATGTGGGGGGCCATCGGAGCAGCCATCGCCAGCAGGGCGCCCAGGGCGTCCTCAAACTCGCGGCTGTGGAGGACGACCGCCTGCGAGGCTTGCTGAGGAAGGAAAGGGCAGCGTGAGGACGCACGGGAGCGGCGCGGCAGGCACCACCGCGGGCACGTCCCCGTCCAGACCCGCCGCAGCCGGCAGGAACCCTCCGGACCGGCTGCTCTGGCTCTGGACAAAGAGCTTTCCCCACTAATGACACTATTAAAAACAGCTTGAGCAGCAGCGACAAGCACATTACCATTCAGGGAGCGTTTCCTACGCCCTCAGTCTGACGCTAACTCACTCGGCTCCCACAGCCACCCTGCGAGGGCGGCATCCTTACCCCGCGGGACAGAGGAGGCAGCCGAGGGTTACAGGGGCAGGAACCTGCCCCGGGTACATGGTTATCCAAGTGCCACGTCCAGATTACAACCTAGCGTGGTCTTCTTTCGGCGCGAAAGTCTAAACCCCTCGGCTAGGCTTCCTGGGTGCACGGGACCCACAAGAAACGCAGAGAGGGCGCCCAAAGGCTCTGCAAGGGGAGCCTCCACAGCAGGGGCCCTGCGCTCCCCCAGGGGCCCCCATTCTCTTACTGCCGACACAGCTTCTGCCTGAGGTGCGGCTGATCAGCTCCGTCACCCCCGTTCGATTTATGACGTGCCTACCAGATGCCTGGTTTTAGGGATAAAATGTCCAGAATATTTTTATTATATTTGACAGGATAAATGTCTCTGCCCTCCAGGCGCTGACAGTCACCCGGGGGAACCAGCAAAGGATTCAAGGGTGTCACAGGACTCGACAGGTGGGGGGAGGGGTGGCCAGCACACCTGGGCTTGAGGGGGGGTGTGGTCGGCCAGCGGCCTGGAAGGGACACGGGCGGTCCCGAGGTGGCTGCGGGGAGAATGTCGCTAAAAGGATTTGACCGAGGCCCTGAGCAAGTCACGGTAAAAACTAGCCCCATGTGGTTGTGCTGCTCAGTACGTGGTGCTTCTAATACCCTGTGACAAAAGCAAGTTTGGTTGAATTTTACACACTTGTTAAAATGAAAAGTCAGGGCCCTCATGATGTATTTTTGGGAATAGAGAGGCCAAACACATTATCCATGGCTTTCGTAGTAATGCATTGATACATGTGTGAAATAACAGAGAAACATCCACCGGTCCCCGTCCCTGGCTCCCAGCACAGCGGTCCTAAACCCCTCGGAATTTCCTGAGAGACAGGGCGTCTTCTGTTCAATTCGGAGGCTCTGGGTGGGCTCCTGAATAGCTCCTGGGCTGGTGACCAGAAAGACCAAGCCGTGGTGACTAGAAACGTGGGACTTTCGGTCCCACCCGCCCATTCTCTGGACAGGAGAGGGGGCCTGGACGTGGAGTTAGTAACCGACCAGGGCTCCGTTACAATCCCCACAGCACCGGCTCGGGCAGCGTCCGGCCGGGGACCATGTCGGGGTTCGGGGACGGTGCTGTGCACGGGGGGATGCAGTTTTTCCCATCGCAGCGTGACCGCCGACAAACCGTCTAAGGGATTTGGATACAACCCCGTCGGGTAAGGGCTGTGGGCAGGGCACACTGCCAGGGAGCAGAAATTTCATTTCTTAATTTAATTTTTCTATACTATGTGCTCCCTTTTCCTGATTAAAAAAACAACGCACACTCGGCTCAGGAACTTTGCGAAATACAAACCCACTCACCATTGTACCACCCAGGAAAACAAGATCCAGTGTGTTGTATGCCAGTCTCCAAAAATGCAAAAATATGGGGACATCCACACTCACACACATGACGTTTCACGACTGGGGTTTTTCCATGTGGACACGTCTGTGTCGTGTGTTTTTAGTTAATGTCCTGATGCTAACGTGGTGGCACGTTTCCTTCTCGCTAACATGACATTAAGTCATTTCACCATTTCCCCCCCGGAGGACATTTGGGGTTCCAAGTCTCAGTGATTATAAATCACCTGACAGAGAACACCCTGGGTCACGGGATTATTTACAGCCCCAGGCAACCTCACAGCTGGACAGCTTCCCGGCCAGACTGCAGCAACCTCGTGCACCCTGTCTTGGCAACAGCGTGAAGAATAGTTATGTTTCACAGTCTCTGCACATGTGATGGGAATAAAAATAGCAGCTCATTTTTAATTTGCATTTCAAAATAATTAGCAGGGCTGATTTTTTTTGGCCATAACTTTATTGGCTATTTCTCTCTCTTCTTTTATGAATTATCTTTTCACATCTTTTGACCATTTTTAGGTATTTTCATATTAATATGTAAGAGCTTTTTATACACTAAGGAGAGTTGAGAGGGAAGGAAGAGGGGAGTCACGGGGAAAAGAAGGGGAAGGGTCAAGTCAAGGAACCTGTATAAAGGACCCGTGGACAAAGCCAAAGTGGGGAAGGATCGAGAGTGGGAGGTCGGGGTAGGTGGGGCAGGGAGAAGTGGTGGCAGGAAAATAGAGACAAATATATTTGGACAATAAAAAAAATATTTTAAAAAAAGGACAGTAACTTTTTGTTGGACATATTTGTTAAAACTGTCTTCCCCATATTTTATCTGTCCTTTAATATGGCATGTTGCATATGCTAAAAATGGTAAGCTTTTAGTAGCCAAATTTCCCAATTTCTTCCATTGTTCTTAGAAGCCTAGGGAGGGCGTCATTGTAAAGAGCATTTGTTGATAGTTTTAATGTGCACTTTTTTTTCTTGTCCAAATGGCCAACCACTTGCCTCAGTCCCTCGCGTGGCCAGAAGAGCCACGAGGGCCGGCATCTGTCCTCAGCGTCGACAGGTTGGGCTGGCCAGGCGTGGCACATGTAAAACGCCAGTGTCAATGCGGCGTTCACTTGGAGAGTGGGAGCAGGAAGGCACAGAGGCCCCATCTGCTCCTGGCGATGGCACGTCGGCCGGACATGTCCTCTAAGCTCCCTGGGCCTGTGTCCTCATCACCAAACTATGGGGGAGGGGGTTTGGACCAGATAATCTTTAAGAATCTTCCAGCTATAAAACTAGGTTGCGACTCTAGGGAAAAAATGCTGCTTTAACAGAACAGAGCCACACTGAGAAGGTGACACCGTGGTGGGCTCCCTGCCCCCCGGCCAGAGATCCTGGAGGCCACCTCACCCTGGGGCAGAAACCTCCCCTCTCCTCTGCTGCCAGCAAATGAGGGCAGGCAGGCCACCTACCAAGAGGGCGCTGCTGAGCCCCATCAGGTGAGAGATGGCTGAGTTCAGTGAGAAGTCCTCTGTGAAGTGGGCGGTCACCTGCGGGTAAACGTGGAGTTACTATTGAAATTCCTTACGCTTTACACACACACACACACACACACACAACTAAATTATGCAAAAATGTGAAATTAAATGAATGCAATCAGAGTGTTTATCAATGTATGCGCTTTCTCAAATAATCACGATAATGTCTCATTGGCACAAAGAGTTAAAATGACGCCAGTGTTGTTCCCATGACTCAAGGTCGTCCCTCTTCCCCCGGAGCTGGGACAGGGTTGGCGTTCCTGGTATGGCCTTCAGAAAACACTGAATGGGGGCAAGACCCACAGAAGAGCAAACATCAGAACAGCAGTAAACAGGGGATGGCGTAAAGGAAGCCACTTCTCCTTGGTTCCGTGGCTTTAATCCGCACGGAGGATCGCTAGTGCACGGGACAAGTCTCGCGTTTTCAAATATGAAGTCAACATGAGAACGCTAATACGCTCTGTCAGCCTGTTCCTGTTTGTGCGCCTTTCCATTGTGACCATGGGCAAGGACGCACAAACACGGCACATCTTTAAGATGCCAAGAGTTCCCGAGTTGTTGAAATAGCCCAATTCTATTATCTGACAGAACCGGAGGACGGGCCAAATCCACAGAGAAACTATGTGGTAGGAAAACAATCACTCAGTCGTCACTCAGATGACAGAACGCCATTCAGTGCACTCTGTTCCCCACACCAGCGGACCGAGGGCGAAGCGACAGCCGGAGGAGTGTCACCGAGGGAGACCGTGCTGGACCCAGGGCCCCTCAGGTTACACAAACCGGGGAGGAAAGGCCCTGCTCCTTCAATGCCGCCAGTTATCAGAGTCCAGATAAGCGGCTTTGGCTGACTTTATACGTTTGAATCTGAAAAACAAAATTCAACCTCAGGAGCATTTGGGGTATCTGGTATCCATTAAAAATGGCCGCAGATTTCCAAAGCCTGCCTTCATTCAGAGACATGCGGCATTTTTTACAAAGTTCTTAAAAAGACGAATGTCACTGTTTTATAGCAGACTCTTAGATTAAAAAAAAAAATGTAAAGGGTTCTGTTATCAATGAAGAATCTTTTGAAATGATTTAGATAACAATGTACTATTCTTTAAGAAGGGAGCAGGAACAAGTCATTTATTTGCAAAAATTAATCCACAATAACTCTCACGGACATTGTGTAACAAAGTCACTGAGCGGGCAAGTCCCCACTTAGGCTGAGCATCAGGGAACAGGGAGCTAGTCTCTTGGTTCCGCAAGACGTTTGCCCTCTCTGCGCCTCATCCCTGTCCCCCTCTGTAAAATGACATTGCTAAAGAAGACGGTCTCCTGACGCCCCCTTCGACTTTCGAGTTCTGTTTCTGCTGATACAGGACATGTAGCGCGTCACCGGCATGACCCTGCCGTGGCCCCCGCCTGCATGTGTTCGGTTATGGAGACTTGGGCAGCGGGCGGCTCGCTGAGGTGCAGGACGGACAAATGCGGGAGCTCAGGGAGCCGCCCCCAACAGCAGCTCTGCCCACGAGGACAGTTGTACATTCCCTCCGCCTCGGCGGAAGAGCAAAGCCGTAGGATCGATTGTTCAAGGCAAGTGGGGCCACCGTAAGAAGGGAGAAGACCCACAAGGGCCCACCCCGAGGGCGGGTGGGCCACACCGACCCCGCGTGCCACTTACAGAAGCCACCGGTGTCCCCTGGAACGTTTCTGACCTGAGAGATGACCGAGTTCTTGTGCTCCCAGAGCTTCCGGGCCTCGGCTTTCTCCTCGCTGCTCAGCAGCTGCGGTTTGGGCACTTCCCCGGACGCCCTGGCCTCGATGAATCGGGTCACCAGGGACCAAAGACGCTGCTGCCACCTCAGCACGCCAGGGAGTGCGTCGGCTGAGGTCGGGGTCAGGAAATGAGAAAGGGAGACACGTGAGAATGACCGATCGGGTTATAAATAAGACGAGAAAAGCACCTGTGAAGTGGAGACACGTATCATTGCGCCCCAGCGGGTGCACCCAAGGGCAGGGGAAGGGTCCTCTTTGGCTCCCCGTGTCTGGGAACTCCAGCCGGATGGATTCCATCAGGCCTCAGAACCCCGGTACTCAGCGCTGGGCGGCAGGGTTGCATGCAGAGCTCCCCGCTGACCATCCCGGGCCCATGGCAAGCTCAGGAGCTTGGGCCAGGGTATGCGCCCTGCGCTCCTCCTGGATAAAGACAGCTTGCCAGGACGGAAGTGCCTGCGGTGCTCAGAGTGCTTGGGGACATAGCGGATTCCTCCCGCCTGGGCAGGGAACACGCAGTGGCGGCGGTACGCAGACCACGCTGGCCGCGGCCCCGTCCCGGCCAGATGTGCGTGTATCACCTATTGCAAACGTGTTCATCAAATCTAGGTGCTGATCTGATTTACAGAGAAGTTGAAGGACCCTCTCGCACAGCCCTGGGTCACCACGTTAGCCAAATGCAGGCCCAGCCCATCTTCTACGCTTTGGCTACTGGACTAGGTGTTCGTAAGTCCAATACACACAGAACCCTCCAGAAGGCTTGTCAGAAACAGCTTCCTGGAGGCCACCCTGCAGGGGTGGGGGGCGGGGAGCACAGATCTGTGCCTGCAGGTCTGTACTTTCTCATCCTTGGGGTTCTAAGGCCCCCAGTTCCAGGACTGGCATCCGGGCCGCTCTCCTCACCAGAAATGAGACTTCAAACTCAATGGTGATCCCAGACACCTGCCTGCATCTCCCATCGCAACACGGGGCGCAGGCCACACCAAGGAAAAGTGAATCAGCCCTGGTTTATTCTAGACCAGCCAGACTATTTTACATATTCTATTATATGCTATTGATAAGTATCTATGTATATCACACACTATACATATTAAATATGTAATGTGTGTATTAAATATAATTCATTGTTTGTAAGTATATAATATGTATATATAATAAGATCATAAATCCAAGATTATTTGACTTCCTGCTGTGTCAGATCTCAATGATTCTGGAGAGGGTACTGTCCCCTGAGGGGCTCTGGAGGCTGCTGGGGTGCAGAGAGGTCACGGGCAACATCAGGGTCAGGCCCCGGTCGGGCGTTCTGGGTCAGTGAGGCCCGATGCCACTGTGCTGGAGAAAACCCTTCGGGGCAGATCAAGAGCGGACGGGCCCCTGGCGACCGCAGTGGGCTGAGGGGCAGCAGGGAAGCCATCGGGCTCCGAGGACACATTCTCAAGGTGGTCCTCGTGGGAGCAGCATCAAAACTGCGCAGGCCTGCGAGAGGCGGGCTCCTGGGCCACCTCGGGGGCCGGGTCCGCAGGTCGGGGGTGAGGACTGGGAACCCGTGAAGCAGCGAGCTCCCCACGTGAACGGGACGCTCATTCATTGGAGACACCGGGCTATGAAGGGCCCCGTCCTGGGCTAAGAAGGGAGTGAGCTGCTGCTCGCTCCCCTGAACCCATCCCTCGGATCCTCTGCCAGTGTCTTCAGCGAAGGCCCCTGCTTAGGGGAGAGCCTTCCGCGCCTGAGGCGGACCACGAAGGGGGCGGGCCGGGGAGAAGCGGCCGACTCACTCTTCACGTCCCACAAGATGTCCTTCTCCGGAGGGGCGGCGAAGAGGAGGTAGAGGCGGACCGTGTCGATGCCGCACTGCTCCACCACCTCCTCGGGGTCCACGCCATTGTGCTTGGACTTGCTCATCTTCTCCCACGTCACCTCCAGCCTCTCCCTCGTCCGTGCATGGACAGGAACGGGACCTGGACACCAAAATAACGCGTGGGTATGGTGTGTGCGATTCCCAACTGGCTCCATAAAAATACACCCAATGAGAAAACGGTGGGTGAGCCATTACAAGGGCCCGCTTGGGGAACTCCCTTAACTCACCGACCCTGCTGCTCTCTCTCCTTCCATATTACATTATAAGAAGAGTTTTTAGATAAATGAGGCCCATCTCCCACCACAAATCTTCCTTTCAGGAATATATAGTAGTTATAATGGCTTCTGACAGTTTCCCCTCCACCACAAAAGAAGACAAAGCAATTGCCCCCTTTATAAAAGTAAATTAATTATATACAGAGATAAAAAATAAGAAAGGACAGGAAGGACTCAGAAATGCGGCTGTTTTCTCTGGTTCAGGGTTTCCCATAAAAGGCTGGCAGCTGACCAGCGAGGGCCTCAGGGCAGCAAAGCCCCCTGCGAGGTCACCTCGCCTCCATGCCTGTCTTGGTGTCCCCACCTTGGTCACCCACACACAGTCTCCCACGTCAGGGCGCACGGAGGAAACTCACTGGGCTCCCAGCGACTCCGGCCCCATCTGCGGTGCCAGCCCACCATGCCCGCCTCTTGGAAGCGCCTCCTCCCCACTCCCACCCACACGCCGGGGCCCAGACGGTGCCGACGGAGGAGGCCTTAAATGGCCGTGTCTGGGTGAGATGACCTCGTTGCCAAGCCCCAGTGGCTGGGACCAGGAAGGACATCTGATGAGGCTAGCCCCCTTTCTCGGGAATTGGACTAAGAGACAGAAGCTCCCTGCTGACGTTGGTGGGCGCTGCGACCACAGAGACCTAGAGAGACGGGGCAGGACGTGGCACGGTGCGTCCCCAAGGCCGCTTTGTAAACTAATATTAGGAGAGAGCAGAATCCAAGCCTGGAAAATAGGACAGAAGAACAGAGAGAAGCAGGAAGAGGAACTAGGGGCTTGAGAAAGAGGGAGAAGTGGTCTGGTGACTTCCCGAATGCGGTGAGGCGGCTGCATTTCCGCAGCTGCACTTGGGCGATGCCCCTCTGTCCCTGTGCTCTGCCCGCCTTTGGGTGGGTTTCTGTCCCCTCCAGGCAGCAACCAAACTCCCAAGGAACCGATGTGTGTACCTAAAAGCTAATTCCATACTTCATGAGAAGCACACCCGTTACATAGACAGGGGCCTGCCCTGCCGAGCCAAGGATTCTATCCCAGGGGACAACACTGCGTGAGAAGGGAAAAGACGGTCACAATGCTGTGTGGCCCCATGACATCAGAGCGGAGGGAGACGTTCTGAGCAGGCTGTGGTGAGGCCCAGGGCCACTGCCCCAGACCCCGCACACACCCTGGGGCTGCGGCTTGCACTCTGGGGCTGTGAGCAAAGCAGGAGAAAGGCATCTTCTGGGCAGAGAGCTGGAGAAGTTAGAAAAAGGTGCCTTCTCTTGACAGATGTGGCCCTGCGGTGTGTGGCTCGGCACATGGCTGGATGTCAGGCCCCGCTGGGCCCCTCCGCAGGGTGCCCTTGTGCAGCGCACAGACATACATGCCCCCAGATTTAGCTCCTGCCCCCTCTGCTCTGTGTGGGAGAAAGACTGCCAATTTCTGCTTCTCCAGCTTCTTCTTCTCCCAGGGTGACCATTCCTAACTGGACATATCACCGCTTTAATTAGGTAACTCACCGACTGCCTCCCCTTAAGCCTTCTCTGTAGTGTCTGGCGTGGGAGGCTGAAGGCCATATTAGGGGTGTTGGGTTTACCCAATCTCATCCATTACGCTCTGGTTTTCTAAAAAATTCCACGGCCAGAGTGCTGGGGGCTTCTCACGGCTGCCCCCATGTACACCCCTCCCCACTTCGGAACAGGTCATCTCCTTCATTTGCATGCCGGGTGCACATGGCACATCCTTGCGACAGAGTGCAAACACTGGGCAGAGGGCAGGGCCCGGGAGAGCGGGGAGGACAGGGAAGTCAGGGAGTCAGCAAGCAGCACTGTGCCAGGAGGTGCCGGGCGGGGCGGCTCCTGGCGCCTGCGGGAGCCAAGAGAGGGGTGGCCCCCCACGGGCTCTCAAATGCGCCTGCAGATCACATGCAGAGAAACACTGAAGGTACCCCAGGCTTGGAAGGAGCATCTCTTGGGCCTGGGGGCTCTGTCCCTAGAAGGGACTGTCAAACGTGGGCCAGAAGACAGGAGGCGATACTCAGGCTGGTTCCACGTCACAGACTAACGAACACTGAAGCTGGACTAGGTGGGGCTGAGGAGCAGCCAGCCAGGCCAGGCCAGGCCCGGCCTTCGGAGGGCACCAGCCCAGAGCAGGCTGGGGCTCAGAGCGCAGGAAGCCAGCAGGCCCCTCTCCTGGCTTCTCCACCCAGCCAGGACTCTGGCAACAGAGCCTCGGGCCTGGTCTCCATTCTTTGCATGTACCTGTGTGGGACTGAATGGGTCACTCTTACCTGTGAGATCTACTTCCTCTCTCCTTAGGTACTGACCCGATGGTAGGCGGAATGTCTGCCCCTTGATGAGGCCTTGGGCCAGCAGCTTATGAAAAGGCTCTCTGAGAAAAGACAACAGAAGAAAACTGGTGGGGTAGGAATTCGAAGCATCCAGAAAACAGCAATAAAAACCTTACCAGCCGATGGGCAGAGAGAACCACTCTCTCTGAAAACGGGTAGGCCGAACAGCGCCACTTGTAAACCCACTTGAACAAATAGCTCCTTGTACACAAGCAGTGAGCAAATTAAGTCAGACCAGCAGGTACTAACTTCTCTCCACCGTGGCGAAGTGGAAAGAACCTGAATGTTGTGGCGGGGGGTGGGGGTAGGGGGGTCTCAGCTCTGCTTCTCAAAGAATTCTGCGAGCTAATGATACTCCCTTACCTGTTCTTAGCCTCAGTTTGCTTATCTGTACATAGATAAGCAAGGTGGGATCATTCTTTAGAAATTTTTAAATTATACAAATTATACATGATTGTACCCTTTCTGTTCACCAAACATTACACCCCTCTTTCTAGGCCTACTACGCTCTGAGGGGGCAGTTATTCTTAATAATTTGGTGAATATCCTGAAAAAGTCTGGAGACATTTTTTAACACCTTTTCCCCACAAACCTGTATATACGTATCGATGGTAGCAGAGATTTTTTGAGGGGTATTTAAGTTAATGGGATCGTAATATACATTACTTTGTGCTATTTCATTTAACCATTATCCATTAATAGGAAAAAAATCTATGAATATGAATGGATTTTTTTCCCACAACAGTCCATGTAGATGTATCTCATTTTTAAATACCTGTCTGATGTTGTACAATATAGATGTATAATAATTTACTTACAGTGCCTGTTTTTAGAAGAGTTTTAGTCACACCCTTACTGGCAGAATAGAAAAACACAAACATTTCCTCTAACGAGGACAAGGCAAGGCTGACCCTCATACTGAATTGCTTTATTTCGGACTGGAAGGGGTTCTCTGTGGAGCTCACCTGATTGAGCTTTGAGGCACGTGAGCAAGGGCTACTCCAAACTCGAAGGGGGACATGTGGAGGCATCGGCTGCTAACCGGGCCCGTACCTCACACTCACAAAGGCACACAGGAGACCGAGTGACGTTCTGCCCGATGGCCCTTTCAATAGGCAGACCTGGAGGGGCTTCAAGTTCACTTACAAAGGTTCAAAAAACCAATAACTTCTAAGAGGCCCAAGAGACGGCAAATGTAGCTGTGGTGATGCAGGCAGCAGGCCGGCTTTGTTCATTCCATGGGCTCCCACTCGGCACTAGGCTGTGTGGTCTAGGTGAGCTATGTTACTAAGGCCTCTGGGCAGGCCTCCAATTCGGATGCTGTGCGGCCCTGTCACCGTGGCTGTGTGAACAGAGGTGATTTCAAGGAAACTTTCTAGTGGATCTGGGCGTGGGGGAGTGGAGGCTGGCAGAGTGGAACAAAGAGATTGAGCAGGAAAGAGACGAGGGTCAACTGGATAAAGGATTCCTGGTCTTTGTATTTTAAAATCTTGTTGTGAGCACGTGTATATGTGTACATCGCTGTTGCCTAAGGCAAACGATAGAGACTGTGGTCCCCACCCCCCCACTCCCAGCCCCGCTCCGGTGCTGGGAGCCGGGAAGATGCGTTTGCTACAGTCTCAGGCTCCGGGATTCCTGCGCTGGCTGTGAAGGCCGTTCCTTTCGGCCCTCACTGCGAGTCCATGGCTCTGGTGGCTCTTAAGAGAAGGTTGTGTAAAAGATGTCTTTGGGATGGAAAGAGGAAGGGAATAATCTAGATCTCAGAAATAAATCAAAATCAGTAGTACCTAGTCCTCAGGAAGGGTGGGCAAAGAAACAGGAATCCGGCTCTGCGTTCTTGTTTATCAAGTGGCGCGACGCCGCCACCTCCCGGGAACGGACGGAACTGCAGCCTGCCAGCCTCAGCCCAAGGGCGGCCTGGCGGCCGAAGGCTGCGCTCTTCAAACAGTAAACGTTAAAGAGGAGTTCAGCACCCAAAGGGGACATCCTATAATCCCAGGGTAAAACCTGATGGATTTTCACAACATAAACGCGCGGTGTAACCAGCACCCAGGTCAACGACCAGAATGTGACCAAACTCCTGCAGGCCCCCAGCGCCAACGCTCCCCCCTTCCCCGCCCCGGAACACACTGGGGCTCCACGGTGGGCGGCACCAGCCTGGCTGCTGACACCAGGGCCACTTCAGAACCTGCTTCTGAACCACCTCCGACCCTCTCAGGGGAGTGTTCACACTGGAGGTTGCCCCCAGAACGGGCAGGCGTCCCCCAGGGAGCAAAGCACCCGCTTCAGAAGCACAAGGACCCAGCAGCCAGCCGAAGCCTGCAGGGCTCTCATCTCCCCGGACCGCACGCCTTCGCGCAGGGCCGCCTCCGGCAGGGGCGGGGGTACTGCCCAGGTGCGCCCGGCTCCCACCTCCCAAGCATCACGGATCCTGCCTGGCAGCTCTTCCTGGCTGGCTCCGGGGGAGCCTCGAATTCTTCCTAGGATCACATTCTCGGGAAACGCAGTCACCATGTGAAATATATCATTAAAAAAAAAAAAAAATTTCAACAGGAGTTTACTGAGTGCTTACTATGTGTCTGGGCTGAGCCAGGCCGGGGGGATGTGCGGAGGGCAAAGCACCCCCCTGCCCTGGGGGACCCCATCTGCTGGCTCTCACTGGACCAAACCAGCGCCCGAGCACCCTCAGAGCCGCGAGCGAGGAAAGGAGAGTCCAGTCACATCTGAAGGTCAGCTCCTTCCCAATCAAGTCTCAATGCCTCAGCCCGGCCACCAGGGACCTCCCCTCATTCCCTGTCACGCCCTCTGCTGTTTCCATGTGTTGCCCTTACGTGCTTCCCTGTCCTCACTCACACTGTTCCCTGAAGTGATTCCAAAATGACGCCTTCCAGGCTCGACTCACATGCCGCTTCCCCCGGGAAGGCGTCTTGGACCCTCCTGGTCAGTATCGAGCTGCTCTTTCTGGTGTGGTGCCTGCACGTGCATTTGCAGATGCTAAGTCTGACTGCGTGTTCAGCTCAGTTGCCTCCCTGGTTGTCTCCCTCCTGCGAGGAAGGAGTAAGAGGAGGAGAATTCTTGAAGACCCCTCCCAGTGCCTGGGTCACAGGTGATGCTCAATAAACGTTAATTGGTTTGAGCTAAATCACGTTTGTTCCCGTGAACAAATAAACAAACCTCATGCTGAGCAGAGGTGGGGACAGCGTGGAGGGGGACAAGGGACAAAGGAAGAAAGAGGCAAATGAAGGGCAGGCGCTGGGTACTATGGCTACTAGTTGGGGCCATGAGCTTTCGCAGGGGGAGGTGCACTCAAAGGGTTCAACCTCTGTCCCCTGCAAGCTCCCAGGAGGAGCAGGAATGGGACAGTGAGTCAGGGAGAAGCCCAAGCATGTCTGCCTGGAATTTCCCTGTGGGGAAGGGGTGCTTCCCAGCTCCCAGAGTCCTGCTCATTCCCCAGTGACCCCCCCAACTCTTCCAGGGCCCCAGGAGGCGCCCCGCAGGGCTGTGTGAATCTGGTTCTCATTTTTTTGGCTGAAGCCAGCCACATCCCCCCCTCCAACGTTCAGTGTAGCTCAAAATGAGGAGTCACACGTGTTTATTTATTCAATACGCGTCTGAACAACTGGGTCCCGAGCACTCTGCAATTAATCAGAGAGCTTACGGTAAAATGGGCGGCCCAAGACATGCTCATAAATAACAGTCAACACCTCAAGCAGGAGGCACGAGGTGTGACTCGGAGGGCATGGCGCATGGGAGTGAGAGTCAAGGGGACATCAAGGGCCCTGCTGGACTCGGACCCCAGTGCTGCTGGAGCAGGGATCACTCCACATTGCCAAGTTCATCGTCAAGATACATGACTGGTGTAATGTATTTCCCATTTGTTTATTTACTCATTCATTAAACAAATGGTACTTGGGAAACTCGTAAAAGCAACTGGGTTATTCATTCATCACAGTGATTGTGTATAGCCGCGGGCTTTGAAACAAAGCGAACACCTGCAACTCTAAACCATCAACCCACCCCCGTCTGGCTCGGGGACCACCCAGAGTGGGGGCATCACGCAGGGCCTCTGCCTTGGGGATGGCCCTAGACAGTGTCATTTCATGAAGAGACACCCCTGTGCTTTCTCCTCGCTCCTCTACCACCAGCGCTGCGGGGGATCACCGCTACGGGCAAGCAGAGTGACAAGTCTTCAGAGTTTCCTTCATCATTTGGGCTGCACTAATTCAGAAATGATAATCCATACCTGCTGGTCACTGAGGGCCACCTTTGTCTCACTAAGAAAGGAAAGCACGGAGGGCCAGACAGAGGGGGAGGAAGAAGAAACTGAGAGGGAGGGTGGGGCGCGGGGGTTGCTGATTAATAGGATGAACAAGGAATTTCAGAACACAGACTGATAGGCTATTTTAAGCAGCCTCATAAAAATCTGCATACAAGGAACATACTAACCAAGAGGCGGCTACAAGAATCTCAGGACTCAGAGCCCTAACCGGCCACTGGGGATGACGCTGACCTACTCGCAAAGCCCTGAGAGCCTGCTGCCCACTCTCCTGGCCTGGTCAGGCGGCTACTACGTAGATCTGGAAAAAAGAAAGCAGGAAGCCCCAGGTGTCTGAACCCAGCTTCTAGACTGGACTTTCCAAACTTAGCCACCGCCTCCTCTTCCTCACCCTGTGTCTAGGGCCATATATTTACATCATTAGCCAGTTTCCAAGTATTAAGCCATGGCTCATTCTTAAAATACCACTATTTCTATCTCCTAGCAGCCAGCCCTCAGCACAGAAGGAGACCTTATTAGTACAGTGAGACCCAGCAAAGCTTCTCATCTATTCCCTTCCTTCCCCCGCCCCCTGCTCCCACACCGTAGCTGCGTTTCCGGCGGGACCAGAGGACCAGGGCCTGCTGAGCCCTCCAGGGTCAGCGGGCGGCTGGGAGCAGCGCAGCAGCCGCTTCTGATGCTGCTGCTCTCGGGCTGCAAACTGCTGGGAGAATTTCAGTGTGGGGGATTTAGTGTCTCTCTGAGGGGTATTAAAGAGCAACAATA